CTTAGCGGATGAGTCGATCAGGATCCTACAGCACATCTTAGTCTTCTGCTGCTACTGCTGCCTCCCCCCCCCCCCCCCCCTCCCCTCCTGCTTCTTTTTCCTTCCTCTGCCGCACCTGCAGCCAGAACCGATCCCAAGCTGATTAAGGAGGAGCCCCCTAGTGGTATGGGTGAGGAAATGCCAAGTGAAGTGACCAAGAGGAGAAGGAGAGACAGGGAGAGGAGGAGAGAGAAAGCAAGAGCGGGAATGGAGAGGACCTGACAACGAGAGGGGCGGGGCAAGGGACAAGGTAGAGGAAGCATAGGAGGGAGGGAGGAGGGAGGGAGGAGGGAGGGGAGAAGGAAGTTAATACCTCGCTCCACCCTCGTCGAATGCTTTACACATCTTGTGGAAGAGAGGGTCCACGTTGACCTCTGCACGTCGTTCTCACAAACCAGCAACCTCCTCCTCCTCCTCCTCCTCCTCACCTGTGTCGACTTTCTTCTGGATCAAGCTCTCTGGGTTGCTCTCAATCGTGTTGCTTCCCTGATAGCCACCGTTACATGCCGGGCCTCCTCCTTCTCCTCCACTTGCCTGCATCGGGGTCTTGCGGGCCTTCTTCCCCTTGCTGGTCTCCTCCTGCTCTCCCTCCCTGCCAGACTATCAGGAGGAACAAGACCTTGCAAGCACAGACGCTTCGCTCTCGTCGGATCCTTTCTCCTCCTCCTCTTGCTGCAGACGCGATTACTGGCTCTCCTTCTCCTCCCTCCTCCCTAACCTCCTCCTCGTTGGGCTGAGATGTGCGGGTAAGACCCGTGACGACCCGAAAGGTCTGTGATAGCGTTACCCAATTCTCCTCCTCCTCCTTCCCTCCTCCTCCTTCGCTCATCCTTCCCATCCTCTTCCTCTACCAACGCCTCCTCCCTCTCCTCTTTGGGTCTCCTTCTCCTACTCTCTCTCTCTGCTCCCGCCTTTCACCTCGTTGTGCACAGAGTCAACACGGCAGGAGTAGATCTTGCCAGCAGCATCCAAAGTGCAGCCCTGAGACGAGGACGTTCAATGAAGGGGACTGGGGCAGCAGGAGAGGATTCAAGATTGAGGAAGAGGAAGAGAAGGAGGAGAAATGAAAGTAGAAAAGGATGAGGGAGGAAATAAGGCAAGGTAGGAGTGAATGGAAAGTTAAGTCCGAGAAGGAGGAGAAAGAGAAGGAAGGGAAGGGAAGGGGTAGGGAGGGGAGGGGAGGGGAAAGGGAGGGGAGGGGAAGGGAGGGAGGGGAAGGGAGGAATGGTGAGGGGTAAGAGGAAATTACCGCTGTCACAAAGTCTGTCTCCTTTGCCTGCAGCATAGAAAACCTTCACCGCCCGAACACCTCTCGGGTGAGGGGTGAAGAGGGTCAGACCTGGGAGAGGCCGCGGATATGATCGAGCAAGTTCATATTCCATGCGTTCTTCTGCGTGATCTTGTTCTCGTTGGCCAGCTTGATGCAGTCACCTGCATCCCACCTCTCACTCCTTCAGCCTGACGATTCTCCCCAACTCACCGTAGAGAGCCTGCAGGCGGTCGCCGTCGAGACGCCCTCCCTTGGGAGTTCCAAACACTGACATGACCGTCACTGCACCGTCTCAATGCGCATTGCAAACGTCATCTCCATCATCAGGTCAATCATCAACAGCAACCTCGTCTCCGACAACAACAACAACAACAACAACAACAACAACAACAACAACAACAACAACATGATCATCATCGCCATCATGATCAGCAACATCACAGCATGTCTTCACACACATGCACAACCTGTAGCTTCAGCATCAAACGACTGCCTCTTGGCCTTGGAGTCGCTGGGAGAGAAAACGACGTCACAGCCCCACTCCCCACCTCCCTCCGAGCACCTCCCCAGCATCTTCTTGAAGGGCGTGAAGGTGTTGGAGCTGGTAGCAGCGTTCTGGTGCGGTCGGTCAGGAGCAAGATGCTCTCAGAGTATGACAGACCTGCGCTCGGAGGTTCTCCTTCTCAATCTCATCGTCGTTCACAGACAGCAGCAGCTCGGGGGCTGCTGACTTCCGGCGGTTCAAGGGCGTCTGAGCCACCGGTGTCAAGAGTGCAGGAGGACGTTTCGCGGAGGGAGAGATGAAACAGCTGATGAGGATGGAGAAGAATTAGGGTAACAGGAAGATGAAATGGCACGGAAGTGAAAGTTGCAAGAGATGAAGATTGAGAAGGTGCAATCAAGGAAGGGCAAGTGAGAGTGGAAGAAGAAGGCGAGGTGTGGGAGGAAAGGGGAAGGGGCAGGGGTCAGGGGGAAGATGAAAGCGACGCAGCTATCACGATGACCTGCAAAGGAACTACGTTGGATGACATCCTGCCGATTGGAGTCAGAAGTCTTCCAAGCAAGGAGAAGTAGCTGATTGCTCGAGAGCTTTCTCTAAACGATGATATGCTGAGACCAAGATCCAGATGGAATACTCCTTCACTTGCTCGTCTCTATGATGTCTCGAATCCAAATCGGTACGTGAACAATCGTTGTCCTCAACTACAGCTTGTGTGTATCTCATTCATGCCCAACACAAATCTATCCACCTTCCTTCGCACCAATACTCTATACATGTTTGAACCTCTTCTAACTACTGACTTTGCTCTCCCTCAGCCCTTGCTGCCACTCCTGCTGTTGCGATCTTTGCTCTTGTTGTGTGCCTTATTGCTATCCGTTGTCCTGCTCCTCCTGTTCCTGCTTCTACTTTTCCTGCTTCTGTTTTTGTTCATGCATCTTCTGTTCTTGCTGCTCCTGCTCCTGCTCCCTCGCCGTTGCCTGCTCGTTCAGTTTCCCACGCCATCGTACGAAGTTTGAATTCTCCGGAACTTTGAGACTTTACAAACTTTGACTTGGAAACTTTCCGATGGTCAACACATAAACTTCCTGAATTTTGGAAACGACCCATCTTACAAAGATTTAGAACACCAAACAGTACAAATTCTGAATTTAAAAATTAATATATTCATTTTAAAAATATCTTTAGTATATATAAGCTATTTATACTATCTACCTAACGGTAAACTTTTGGTACACATTGAAGCTTTATATAATAGTTTTAATTATATATATTATTGAGATTTTATATATATTATTGAGATTTTATATATTAGTTTTACCTCTACCCAACCTACACCTAAAGATCCTGCGGGGGCTCGGTACCCTTGGGAGCCACAACGTTGATCAGATGGTAGGGGTAGGTAGTCTTCAGACCGGTCCATAGAACTGAAATTTCCTCTGGAAACAGGGGTAAAAGGGGTACTCACCTAACCCTGATAGGGTAGTCAGCATGTGTTCCCAGATTTTACCTGGGGTGGGTGAACTTGAGATGGAGGGGTAGGACGACAGGGTTGGAATGATATTATAGGGGTAGGGGTACTCCGCTGGAACTCTACACGTAGGTCATGGGATGACAGTACCCGTACTGATCATAAGAGATCCATCGAAATTTAAGGGTGGGGTTTGTTTTGTGAACATGGGTAGGGTACTAAAAAGATGGGTGGTCATGGTCTAGTCCCCGAGTGAAAGCAGGAGAGAGGGGGTGGGAACAGGACGTGGGTAGGGTAGGGGTAGCGTACACCTACATTCCAGTGGGTAGGGGTTACATTAGGGTAAATGGGGGGTGGAGGGTAGCAACCATGGGTTCAATAGCGCGAGGCGAGAGATGCATAGCAAGGATCGGAATGCAGGGGAGGGAGGGAGGGAGGGAAGAGGAGGAGGCAGTAGCGTCAAGGGATGACGAAGGGAGGAAAGTACGAGACAGGTCTACGTATCATGCAAAGCGCGTATGCCTCTGTCATGATAAGGCAGAAGGCTGAGAATCTCGTGAAGCTTTTGTAGAGACGGTGAGGGTTGTGTACAGGTTCCATGATGGGACTCGGAGATTGAAGCAGCATGTTCAAGGGAGAGAAGATTACATGACTGTGGAGCAAAACTGAGAGCTGACAAACAACGATCAGCGGGAGTCAAAGTGGCAAGAGGTAGACGTGGCAAGGCTTGGAAATTTTGGGTCCGACCTACATTAGTGAAATCAGCTACTCCCAACGCTCTTGCTTCACAGTGGCATGCACAGTGTTCAGAAGTTGGAAATCATCAACTGATTCCTCCTTAATTCTCGTGTTGGATTAGAGTTAGTACGGGTAGATGTGTGGAGAGGAGGAGAATTGAACTGATGTCCACCTTTGAATCTGGGTTGATTGCACGAAAGCTTTGAGGTTCAAGGAAGGGATACTTGCTCATGCCCTTTGCTCACAGATGGATCTGATCTTGGAGCTCGAAGACAAGTATTTCTTTGACTGGATGTACAGCAAAGTCTCACCCAGTGAGTGACGTCTCCTAATATCAGTTTGGAAGGCAGAGTGTTGATAGTGATCTAACTGTCTTGATAAACAGACTATCTTGCGCAGAATGCATCTGATCCTGTACGCCAGTTCATCAGGTGCCATAGCGCTCGATAAATCTTGTTAAGCAGCTGATTTCCTGTACAGCATTTACCTCACCCTTACGGTGCACGGATGGGTGAGTTTTGGCCTGTTAAGAACTTGCGTTCGAGTTGTGATGGGCGACTGTGCAGCTGTTGTACTTCAGTGGTGCGGGTTTGAGCTGGCTGCTCTTCTTCGACAAGGTCTTGTCTCGGTGCATGTGGGGAAAACATGACGGGGAGCGCGGCAGAAATACCTGGAGCATCCGAAAAAGCTCCACAATCAAGTTGCAAGGGAGATTTCAACCACATTCTTCAGCATCCCGGTGACAGCTGCAGTCCCATGAGTGTGCAAGCGCTGACATGAGGGGCAAGGTCATGAGTGTCTTTACCTCTCCCATCTTCTGGCTGGAGGTAACGGCGGACAAGCGTGCGAGATCCTTGGCAGACCTTGTGTGAACGCCGCAAACTCCAGGTCAACGGATACTCGAAGCTGCTGGACTCTAGCCCAGGATGGCAGTTCGAGGTGACTCCAAGTTCCTGTTTAATGGGCTCCTCCCTCTACATCACTGCCTGCATCTGCTGCCGTCCACTTGCGTGCCCTGTCGCTGAGCTGCTTGTTCTCACGTATCTCCTCTGTTGTATCTGTCTCCCTCCTCCTTGCTTCCTCCTACCTTGTTTCCCCTTCCCCTATCCTCCC